CTGTACACTGTCCAGCGCCTTGGGACGTCCTCCCGACGTGAAAGGCGCTATACAAATGTAATCTTGTTGTTGTTGTTGAATAGTAACATGGCATCTTTAAAGTACACCTGAACATGCAGATGCGCCTTGGTTTAAAACCTTATCTAAAGGATGGAACCGATGCAGAGCTCCCGTAGCAATAGTCGGCCTAGACTATAAGTTCAAAGTGCTGACACGGGGCTTCAGCCCACAGCCTTCTGACTCAAAGGCAAGAGTATTAGCACTGAACCAGGCTGACATATTTTATAGTCTCAATCCTATGGATATCGTGGTCATCGCTCAACAAGTTCGATGAAACTTACCAGTGTTTGACAAACTGCAAGGCTTCAATTATTATTATTCTATCTCCAGAGAGGCAAGCTCTGGATAGTTTCCCAAATTCTCAAAAGAAATCAAGCAAAAACTTCAGAACAATTGTCCATCCCAAGGCTACACCCCCAACCCCATTAACCCCAGGTTCTAACCCATTCACAGTAATAATTACTCTTTAGATCTACCAGTTTATGATCTTATTCAGTGCTTCTTATCCATCTGCTTCCCTGCTTGTCAGATATATCAGCCTGGCTCAGTGGTATGACTCTTGCCTTTCAGGTACCCCAAGCCTCCATCCTTGGCCCCCTCCTTTTCATTATAAGCATGCTCCCTCGTGCCGCTGTCATCCATAGACATGGGGTCAACTTCCACAGACATGCGGATGACACCCAATTCTACTTCTCCTCCTCCAGCTGTGACACCCTGTCCACTGATGTCCTGTCAGCTTGTTTAACCTTCCTTTTTGATCGTGTTTACGATCACCTCCTCCCTCCCTCTCCCCCGGCTCGGTGAGACTCCACCACTGTCAAGCCCTGCAGGATGCTACCCCTCGTGAAGGGCACTGCATAAATGCAAATTGTTGTTGCTGTTGAGTTAGAAGGTTGTGGACTCAAGGTCTTTGTCAGGACTTTGAACTCATAATCTAGGCTTACACTCCAGTGCAATGCTGGGGCATCACTGCATTTTGAAAAGTGATGTCCTTCAGATGAGATGTTCAACCAAACCCCATCTGTCTGTTCAAGTGCATTTTAAAGATCTCATGGCGCTATTTGAAAAGACAAGGGAGTTTTTCCTGGATCCGTGACCAAACTGATTCTACTGTATATGGACAAGCCAAATTCAGGTCCAGGGATGGTCATTAAAAATGAGTCTCACTGCAATTAAAGATTTAGTGATAAATATTTTAGAAAAAACTCTGCTAAAGCTGCTCATTATCTGAAAAGGCAAGCAGAAAATCAAACAGCACTGTCGAGGAAACATTTATATACAGATATAATTTATCGCGTATCATTATGTATACATATTTTTAAAAAACTGCAACTTCTTTGAAACAGTCTTTGATGAGTCTTTCAGAGCTCAGTAGCAAAAATTTGAATCTGAGTGAAACGACTGGATTTCAAACCAAAGTTCAAAAGGGAAAGAACAGTTTCCCATAGCAACTTTAATCATGTCAAGATATCAGGGAAAGCATTCATTTAGTATATTCTGTGAAGCGCTTTGAGCAGTCTCGAAGATGTGATAAGATGCTATATCAAATTCAAATTATTCTTGAACTATTAGGTTATGGACTTGAATTCACTCCAGGATCTCTCTTTTGTCGCCTGTAACACTCCAACACAAAATAAACTCATGCAGTTTCGACCTATTTCCCAATGCAAATTGGCCTTGTGGAGCAAACCTTGCCACCAAGGTGATAAACCCATTCAAAACTGATAAGTAAAAAAGAATGTTTAGTAGAAGTAGAAGAAATAATGATTTGTTACTGCACCTTCCATATCGGGAGGACATCTCAGAGCAGCACTTCATAGGATTTGTTGTAAAATATTGTGACTGTATTTTGAAGGTAAATGCGATAAGCCTTGATCTTAAACTCTATGAGCTTTGAATTGTGCTATATCTAATGCAAGGATTATTATTAAAAACATTATTGTCCATCTAATGCTTGCAATCAGTCTTTGACCTGGAACTCTCTCCCTCAATCCCTGTCTTGCCCTCTCCCTCCCCACCGTCAAATCCCACTTAAAGATCTTCCTGTTTGATCGTGTTATGGTCACCTCACCCCTCCCTCTCTCCTTGGTTCATTATCACTGTGAAATGCTCTGGAATGCTATCCCGCGTGAAGAGCGCTATTTAAATGCAAGTTGTTGTCGTTGTTGCTGTTAACATGGGAATGTTTGGTGGGAACAACAACAAATAGAAGAAAAAAAGTTTTAATAAAAATTATAGAAAAATCATGAAAATTTGACAAGATGCAAACTACCTTTTGCAATGCTGTTCCTGCAGGCAGTAAAATAACCACCAAGCCAATGCTGAACTGAGCTTCACAATTCACAATTGTCAAGGTTCAATCATTTTTCAAAACAAATTGCGGGCTTCAAATCTGTACCATTAAATATTATTCTTGATGTAGAAGATTAGAACTTATCTTAATGCAGATGTTTACAATATTGTATGTTTATTCAGGAAATGGTTGCTGAAGGAATGAAGGATGGAATCTCACTGTGTTGCAATTTATGTCAATAACACTGACAGTTCAAAGTATGTCAATTGTTATCAGGCAGTGATGAGCACTATCTGTTCTACGTACAGTGGAGTCTTGTAATAATGCTGTTCTTGGGATCCATAAGATGTCAACCTGTAGCAAGGAATGCTAACTGGATTCACTGCACATACACACAGCTATAATTGTATTTGAACCAGGTTTGTCATGGTTTGCGGAACTATGGTGTGTAACCCCCACTGTACTATTGAAATAAAAATAATGCCTTCTGCACTCTATGGTATGAATCCCTCTCTAATATATGAATCTGACCTATAATTGGGCTGAACTGTAATAATTCTTGCATTTCATACAATGTTCTAACTATTGCAATATCTCAAAGACCTTTACAGGGAATTGAAAGCAAATGCTGATGCCAATCTGTGTGCAGCAATGTCCCAAATCGGAACTTCAATGTATTCAACGATAGAATATTAAGGGATACACGGCAAGGGAAGGTAATTGGACTTGGTACCAATCAGCCACGATCTTATAGAATGGCGGAACAGGTTCGAAGGGCTGAATAGTCTACTGCTGTTTCAAAGTTTCTATTTTTGATCAGACTTTCTTTTTGAATTCCCAAATCATAATTTGAAATTTGAATAACTCTAAAGTTACTCCACATTAAAATTACTCTATTCCAGGTTTAGCCACGTTTATGAGAAATAACATTTCTGCATTCTTAGGTTCCAGTTTATATTCAATAATGTATCTTCCCTTACACTTTACTCCTCTATAATTATAATTAATTGTTAAAAGAAAACTTTGTTGCTGATCTTACAATGGGCCATTGCTCCAAAATAAAGAAAAATAATCAGATACTGTATTTGAACCAAGTTAGTCATGATTTGCAGGACTATAGTGTATAAACCTCCAATCTATTGAAATAAAAACTGTTTAAACCCTGGGAATAAAGACTGTGCAATAATATATTAATTTATGCAGATTGCTTTGTTAGATCATGTTAAAGGCCTCACAGCAGAGAGAAGACATGTTATCCAGAGAGGTTGCAGGTCGAGATCATGAGATACACAGTCTGCTATGTGAATTGGAGTGTGCACATTAATTCCAGTAAAAGTTGCTGAAAGCCTTTACAAATCATAAAACTCCCATTGGAATTAATCATTAGAACGGATCTTCTAAGACGTGCAATGATCAGAAGGATATTTTCTTAAATCACACGTGGTGATTTATGGTGATAAAGTATTCTGGTAACCCAAAGGCAGTAACTAAGATTAAACTAAATCTCCCAAACTGCCTGCACAGAAAGGAGTGGCTGCTTGCAATGCACATTTTCCAAGACAAAAATCTCAGACCCCTTTATGAACCTGTCAGTAAGACTTGTCTACTGGGAAAATATTCATGAGTATAATTAGTGATCAAATGACTCTCCAAACCCCTCTGTTTATCTTAGACATTTAAAATGAAAGATATTGCAAAGTGATTCACCATTATGGGATTTAAATTCTCCAGGTGTTAACATTCCAGAATATTTGCTGGAATCCAATTGCACTGTTTCATTTCATGTTGTAAAATTATATCATGTTCTACCATTCCTGTGAGTTAAAAAAGGAAAGTTGCCATTTGCATTTTTTAAATTAAAACCACACAGAGTAACCTTAGTTAAGTTACTTAACAATGATAGGCTCTTGAACCAATAACCATTTGTTAATTGTTATATAAGTGCATATTTACATTATTCACTTATATTTGGAGAAACAATTTCCACTGGCAGGTGGGTCAGTAACCCGAGGACACCGATTTAAAATAGTTGTTAAAAGAAACAGAGGTGAGGAGAAATGTTTTCACACAGCGAGTTGTTCGGATCTGGAATACATTGCCTGAAAGGATGTTGGAAGCCAATTCAATAACAAGTTATAAGAGAGAAGTAGATAATTATTTGGGGAGGACAAGTTTGCAGGACTATGGGGAGAGAGTGGTGGAATGGGGCTAGTTGGTAGCTCTTTTCAAAGAGCTAGGACAGACATGATGGGCCGAATGGCCTTCTTCTGTGCTGTATAATTCTATGATTCTATATTAAGTTTCTGCCTATCTTGTACATGGTTGGGGGCTCCGTTCTTCAGATGAGATCTTAAACGTAAGTCCTATCTGGATGGTAAAGAATCAACGACAATACTCAAAAGTGAAGGGAGTTTCTCCTGGTGTCCTGGCCAACAATCCTCCAAATAAAATTAATCATTCACTTCACAATTGTGGGATATTGCTGAGTGCAAATTTTCTGCCACGTTTGCCTACAAATACACAGCACTTTACAATAAATCTTTTGAAGTACTTTGAGACACATTTCAATAACGTGTTATAACGCTATGTCAAATACAAGGATTATTGTTATTATATTCTTATTGAAATACAAAAGGTAGCACCTTACCTGAATTCCACAGGTACTGGATCCATACATAAGTACTTGCAGCAAAGAAAAGCCAGTGCAACGGTATGAAGATAAAACAAACCACATCTGAGGTAAAAGCTGCACATACAAACAGTATGGAAAAGGCCTGGGGAAAGAAAATACGCTTAATATTAGAACACCTGGGACTCCCAGTCTCCCCATCTTGTTTTATTATCGAACAAGGAACTGAATTGAAGAATGAAAATCTGAATCCGTCTAAAGCAAGTAACTGAACAATCTGCAGAAATTGCTTCAAATCTGATTCAAGATTCTTCAGATTTACAAAATTGGCTTGTTTTTATTTGCAAAATACAGTATGTTATTCGGTAGAAATGCTGCAGCAAAAGCAGGTCTCAAGTACGAGAGCAGTGATGAGGTGAAAAATATCCTTTGGGAAGTAATCATTTGCGGTATTCAGTTCAGNTTTTTTTACATTTCTGTCATCTGTGTTTGAGTTAAAAGTACTCTCTCTATTTTGCACTCCTTAGCTTCACCTGGGCAGATGTCCATTTCCACACAGCCTTACCTCACTTACAATGGGATTTATTTACTGATATTCACAAACATGTATTAGTTGTCACTTCTAGTTTGACTTTTTTGAACTGAGAGATTTCCTGGGAAATATCTTGAACGTCTACTTGGAAGAAAATTTCAGCTTCAAAATTGACAGCAGAAATTAGCAATGTCGAGACTGGCTGTGTTTATCCAGAATTGTCAAGATGACAATGCACATGTTTTGGTCACTGAAGTAATCTCGTTACTGAGTTCACTAGAGGTGAGAAATAGGAGAAAAATGCTCACTCTATTCAAACAGAATGAGAGCCAACATTATTCTTTACAAACACTGGTTTACTGCACTTTAAACGTCGTACGTTACAAAGCACAGAACCAATTCTAAAGCATTTAAAAAGACAATAATTAAAATCTGATAAGAGTTCAAATAATTTTTCAATCACTCTATACACAATTGAATATGTATCTTATCCACTTCCCCAGACAAGAGGGTAACCACGTAAATTCATGATGCTGTTGTGTGGAGTCAACAACAACAACAACAAAATGACATTTGTATAGCGTCTTTCACGTTGGGAGGACATCCCAAGACGCTGGACAGTCAGTGTTTCGGACCCGAGCTGGGGGTTGGGATTGGTGAGGGTGGAGCGCAGTGGGGGAAGCAGGGTGATCGAAAGCACGATCAAAGAGAAGGGTCTTGAGACGGGTCTTGAAGGAGGCAAGGGAGGGGGTGAGGTGGAGGGACTGCAGGAGTTCCAGAGGGTGGGGGCAGAGTAGCAGAAGGCCCGCCTGCCAATGGTGGGGTGGGCAAAGCGGGGACGTGAAGCAGGCTGGAGCCCGCTGAACGGAGGCAACGAATAGGATGATAGGGGGTTAGGAGGTCGCAAAGGTAGGTGAGAGCAAGGCCATGAAGGGCTTTGAAGGTGAGAACCATGATCTTGAACTGTATCCTCTGTGTGATGGGAGGCAGCTCTCAAACTGAATGCTAAATACCGACAGAAATATTGGAAGTTTATTTAATTGTTTTACTATTTTCACAACAAATGCTGCTGCTAATCATTGTAACGATGAGCATCATTTTGTGGCCTGGGATCACATCTCATGCTAAAAGGAATGCAATGTTCAGAATCCATGTGGACACTTATGTGAATTGTTTCCTTATTTGGAATTATTTTCTACTAGCTGAAAAGAAAAAAGAAATATGATGCAGACATTTATAACCCTGAGTCCAGATGTGTTCGCTGCCCATTTACATTTTTTATTCAAGATCTCTTTAAAGAGGCCAAGATATAAATAATACTTACAAGGCCTTGATATCGTGATGACTCATAAACCCTCTTGACAAAGAGCCAGCCAGGCCATAAATATTCAAAGCGAAATTCAAGGATGAAATCTGTCAATAGTATTAACACCCAGACCGTCAGGACCTTGAGAAACGTGGACACGCTGTAATCAAAGGAATCAAAATTAATAAAATCTAAATTCTAACAAATGATGTTTATCCCTCTAGTTTGCCAACGGGTTCAACAGGTACATTAGCTGATATTCATTCCAAGAACCATTGTGGGACTTGATTCCCAAGATCCAGAGGCGAGAGAGCCACCAACTGAGCCAGGCTGACATCTGACACATTGACACATTGCTCTCTCGCCTCTGGATCTTGGGAATCAAGTCCCACAATGGTTCTTGGAATGAATATCAGCTAATGTACCTGAATGTAGTCCTGGGGGTGTACTGCAGTTTTGGAAGTGCCGTCCTTCATGTATTTAGCTATTTCATTTTCTTTTAAGTTATTCTAGACAACTGAACTAGTTATCCTGGAGAGACACTGTTGAACCCGTTGGCAAACTAGAGGGATAAACATCAGTTTTTTAAAAAAATTAATTATTTTGTGGTTAGTGGTTAGAGCGCTCGCCTCGCAAGCAAGAGACCAGGTTCGATTCCCAGGCAGGGCAAAACATTGGGCAAGATTCCTTACTCCAGACGCCCGTTTACCTAGCAGTAAGCAGGAACCCGGTTCTTAGCCGACTGGCAAATCGCTTTTCCAGGGGTAATAATCCCTTCAAAAAAGTAACAAATTTGGTCACTCAATTCACAAATGTTTGTGGGACACTGCTGTGCGCAATTGGCTGCCACAATTCACCCACAAAATATACAGTCAATTCACTTTACAGTATATCCTGTGAAGCGCTTTGAGACATCTCGAAGACGTGCTAAGGCGCTATATCAAATGCAAGGATTATTATTATTTCATCTTTCTACAAAAATGCAGCAAACATTGGGACCCTGAATGCAAATTTAGGAATTTGATGGGAAAAAAGACTTGTTGAATGTGATATCTGATGAGCCATGTCTTAATGGCACACTTTCAGTGAGAGACACGTCCAATTTGGGAATAACTATGACATAAAACTGTCTCATATCACAGTTCTATTAACACTGATATGCTATTCCAAGGCTCTTTGGTTACACAGCATATTCTTGGTACTAAATTCAAATTGAAACACCCCTATAGTAAAGTATTTTAAATGAAACCTTCCGTATGACAATGAACAAGCTATCAGTTGATGATTACAGCTGTATATCTCTATTCCTGCTGTATAACATATTATGTCACTTTGATCTAGTCAGCCTATTTGCTTTGTAAAATTGGCTATTTGACGTCAGTAATTTAATATTTAAATCATGTGTTTTAACGAAACTAGGTTTACAAGGCAATAAATGTCTTCTGTGTACTGAATAAATGATATGGTCATAATATGAGGGAGACAATTAAACTGAGGAAACTGATCAATTCCAGTTTATTAGCGAGTGTTTATTAATGTGTGCGTGTGTGTATGCGCGTGTGTGTGCGTATGTGCATGCGGGTGCATGTGTGTGATTGAGGGGGAGGTTAATAGTCACATTCAGCTTTCTGTCCCATATGTCAAAAAATAATGAAAATGTTTACTATCCCAAACATCACTATGATAAATATTTTGAAGACTGGTTAAATACGAATGGATATTGGGGATGATTATTAGGCAGTGATCTCGATGAAGGAGTTTAGGTGACATCAGTTACCTTGATATCTTGAATGATGTACCTTTCTAGAAGGTGTTAGGTGTGAGTATGAGGTGGAATGAATGCAGTAAGCAGCCATGCCCACTGTAGTAAGCCCAGATGTAAACAAGATGGTTTCTGGCTGCATATAAAGACATGGAGAAGTTGGACTTCCTCCTTTTAGCCAAATTACCAAAGATACAAGAAATGTACAGGCTGATGCCATGCTCTATTTTAAAGGAGTAGGATGGGTGGGGAACTATAAATAAAATGGGGCGCATGAGATAATTCTACAAAATGAAATGACCCTAGATCAGCTCAATTAATTGAACATTTGTTATACTATTTATACCAATAATCATAAAAAATAGCTCTTGTAACCATCAAACTTTCAATAAACTATCTGGACCACCATAAGGGTACATGCTCCTCCAGTGATAATTGTGTGGGTCTAAAGCATATGACATTAATACATTAAATTAGAACAGAGACTTAAATTACATGGGATGTGAATAAGATTACATTCCTTACATTCTGTATTAAAACAAGTCAGACATATTCGTAACATTAGAAATACTCTAACGGGTTTGGGGAATACTACTATGGAGTGGGGAGGGGGAGCGGGCGCCAGGAGCTGCTGGAGGCTGCCCCAAAGTGCAGCCACTTTCAAGAGCACGTGAGCAGCCTGACTCAATGGTGATAGAGATGACCCTCAAAATCCCGATTACAGCTTGGTGATGGGTAATGGGGGTGGGGGGAAGCTCCACAAGGACAACATGTGTGAAGAGAAGCAGCAACCTCTGGACACAGTCATAAAGAATCCAGCAGAGGAGATCTCACGAGGAGCAGGAGATGAGAGTGATCTGGGGATAAAGCTTCATCTCTATAAAATGGACATGATTTCACTTCTCAGCAGAGTCTGTTAAGCAGCCAGAAAGGGAACTGATGCCTCTTTCTGTTGGTGCTTGACCAGATGGTGTGTTAATAGTTGAATAAATCTATTTTACGTGAAAGGCGCTATATTGTTATTGTTGATAATGTAAAAGAAAGTAGCATCGTATTAAAAACAGTAATCTGATTAAAGAAATGGATCTTAATACACACTGTAGTATATTGTGCATGACCACAGTGACAAACTAAAACAAGGTTACATTTAGTGGTCTGCATCAGTATATGTCTTTCAATCCCACTTGATTTAAAGTTGCCTGTGTTGATATCAATGTCGAATATGAATGCAATGGAGGAATTCTGCTTGAACGTCTGATGCTTGGTTGCTCTAGGGAGTGGATATATTTTATCTCAGAGAGCTCAAAGCATCATGCAGTTCTTGAAGGCAATATTCTATCTCAATGCCACAGTGAAAAACAGCCAGTGTTTGTGTCAGACGGATTGCCTTTTGTCCCTTCATGTTTCCTAACTCTGCATGTTCACATCTTTGTATTGTATTGTACTTTGTATCTCACCATGACAGTTTTGAAAATAACTTTTATGTAAGATCTAAGTAATGAACATAACAATACAAGCCAAAAAAACACTCATTGTTTTTCACACATATCAAGGAAAGCATTTTTCACATGACACATTGAATTGCAAAGGGAATTGGTACTTTCCAAAGGAAATGTTGATTTTGTATCCTTTCTGGCACAAACTAGCTCAGTGTCAAAATAACTTCCCTGTTCATTCCTGTTCAGGAACATAATACAATACCGTTTTTTAAAAATAATATATCTACTCATTTTATTTTGTGTTCCTGGTGGTTGAATCCTTCTCTGGATTAACTTTATTCCACTCTCCTATAATTTTGAAAAGGCTAATTAAATTATCTCTTACCCAGAGAGACTAGGCTTGATTTCCTAACATTTCCCGATGACTTACTTTGCTTGACTCTGCATAAGGTCAATAATATTCATCTTTAGATTAGATGACCAATTGCACGCAATTATTCTCATGGAGTATGATGAATGTCGTATATGTTGACAAGATAACCACTTTTGATTCCTGCCCAATCCCTTGGTGGCGCATTTCCAATGATAAATAATCATTTCAAACTTATTCCATGGAATAAGCTATTCATCAATTTATATCTGTGAAGAAATGTCACTGAGATGGCTTAAAATAAGAGATTGCTTCCAGTAGCAGACACAAGAATTAGAAGTTAGACAATAATCTTATTTTATTATACTTCAACTGGAAGCATCCCAGGTGGTAAAGCTGAGTTGATAGCTACATTATCTACCTACCCAGGCTTCTATTAACAACTCTGCTTGAAACAACCTTAGACCCTACTTTCAGGAATACACTGACAAATGTGTCTTTCAGATCATTTTCTCAGTTTTGTAACCTTTTCTGGCTTTATGTTTAAAAACAAATTGAAGCGCTCCAATAGAAAACATGAAATGTGGAAAGGTGATAGCTAAATAGCTGGAATAGAGAATCATTTGTTCTGTAGGCAAACAAATTGCCCAGAGTTTGCTCTGATAGAAGATGTAAAATGAAGAGATAAAAATATGATATGTGATGTGAGAATGATCACATTACTCCCTGCCTTTTTAACATGATGTGGCACACACACACATACACGTTTCATCCTCAATGGTAAAAGCATCGCCAGTGAGTAATTGTGCCAGCATTGCAGATTACCCATAGTCACAAGATCAAAAGATTAGTTTGGATGAAGAAGGCCCTTCAATCCATCTCATCTCATCCCTCCAGAATACCTCAAGATCTTACTTAACGCAAGGAAATACGGGGCTGGAAAAGACCATTACAGGTCATCTGGCTGGTCCGAAAGTCAACCAATGACTTATGCTACTGTCGCTCATACTCATTTTTAGATGTCCTCTTCACAAAGGTGTCCAATTCCCTCTTGAATTTCCTGATACAATCTGCCTGCTCTGCCTCCCTGGGTAGTGCATTCCAAATATTAGCCACTTTCTTCTGTGTGATAATAAAAATAATTATTTTGAACAGCCCAAAATGCTGAGTTCCTTCTCAGCAGAAATATTTTCTTCATGAGCTGAATCGTAAATGTGTTCTGATTGAACTGCAAAACAGGAACACATTGCCCTAGGGATTCTCTCTGGCAAGAGGAAAAACCAATAAGTACGATTTTAAAAGAACAACCTTAATCTAGAGGGGCCTAGTAAGGAATCTGCATTGGTTAATAAACCTATCACAGAAAAACGCAGCAAGTGTGGAAATAGTGCTCCATAACATGCATCATTATACTAACCCCAAAATATACTCCATCTTCGTGATTAACATATTCACAATAGATCCTTTATGGAAATATGAATTATTCACATAATTATTTTATTACTTAAGTACATAAGTACATCTGCCTTCACAAAGGTGTAGAACTGCGCAGCTTGTTAGCATATTGTAAAAAATGCCTACTCTTCTTT